TGCGTACAAGCTTACGAAGGTTACGTATGGGCATAGCGATGGTCATGAAGGAATGGGGATACATATGGACATTATCTATGAGAGGGTCTCACGACCATGTTTGTTGTTTTTTTGTTAAGAGTTGGTTGAGCAGAGGCACATGTATCATCACACTTTGTACGGGAAGGAACACTTTGCGCAGGACTGACTACTTACGTACCTACCTAGCCTCGGGCGCATGAGAACGCCAGATTTTGATGAACACTTGGAAGACACACGGAACGGTGGATTTGTTTTTACTGGTAGTTAGAATACGCCACATAACTCTTTCTATCCCAGCCGCGAAATGGATATACATTCTCAATCCTGGGACGGCGAGCGGTAGGATCTGCGAAACTCGAGAATGCCTAGGCGGAATTGGGTTTCCAGTTCGATGCTGCGGCCGAAGCTATTAGCGGAGTGCCTACCTGCACAGTTATATCTGCCTCTTATCGAGTTATATCCTGATTCGTGAGCTTCCTGTGCTTCCGGACGACAAGGCCATACATTGAGCTGCTGTAAACCAGCGTCGAGGCTTGTTGGATGCTTCAGGTTGCTTCCGCAGCAGAGGGGGGGTGGCATTGTGCGAGCTGCAACTCTAACTGGTCAACCGAAGGGGTACTACGGACAAGGCAACCAGAAGGCAGAGTTGCCGGTTGACGCCGTGCGGCTCACGCAACAGAACAATCGGGATATATACACTGGCGTGCCAGCGTCGCAAAGTCCCTTTAAACAGTGACCGGAGCCCGCTGCTGACTGGAACGGAAGGGTCAAAGTACATACCATCGACTCAACCGCGACTCCAAGTCTACGTCCGGAAATGTGAGTTTGAGACAGGATGGCCCTTGAAACGGCTGTTAGCGTCATCACACTTTCGGAATTCGCCCTAAAAATCAACAAATTACGCCTGGATATCAAGGATGCGCCTGAGGAATGGCAGCGGTACAAGGATGGTCTGGATGGGATTGCTTGTGTATGTTGACAGCTTCTTGACGATCCATCAGCTCCGCATACATGTATCTAACCAATTGGCTACACAGATTCAGACAGTACTAAAAACCACTATCAACAGGTACCCTGATATTCGCAGCCTTATTATCGAAGATGACGGGAAGAAACGCCCCTTCGTTGACTTCATCAATGCCAAAGTCGAAAGGGTGAGGAACGATGCAAGCGATCTGCTCAACCGATTTGATATGACGTCTACAAGCAAGTCTGGCAAAGCAAAATGGTTTATAAATCGGGTCTTCCGTCGAAGCAAGAATGCATGCGGTTTTCTTCTGAATAAGGATTTGATCAGTGGCATGGTTCGTGACGTTGAACGCGCCCAAAACCAGCTCTCCATGGCGCTCACACTCGCGTCGATCAATGCTTCCGAGTCATGGTAATATCCTTTCCACCACAACTACATTGGGGGTGCAGCACGGATCGAACTGACTCCCGTATGTCCTCAAAGGCGGTCAAATGCAGACCAGCTTCTCGGCACCATCCAGGCCGAGATAATAAACTACGGGAAAAAGACGCTTGAGAAGATCGAAGAAAACGGGAGACTGCGGCGGGCAGTGCTAGAAGTCGACCCCCAAACTATTCAAACACTCGGGGGGAATGCACCCCCGATCCCGGCGTCAACGAAACAGTCCAGTATCCCGGGCATTATCAGAGAGCCCTGGAACGCTGCAACGAAGTTCACAAAGAAGCTTCGCGGGCAACCCTCCAGGCACTCACTCAATCCCGAGGGTTCTGCGAATCGAGCCATGGATGGCGCTGGTGAAGACACATACGAGGCGGACAACGAGTCAGACGACGACCCCGAGCCTCCTGCCCTCCACGCGACAGTCGCAATTGTTCCAGCCGGGAACCCGTGCGGCAGGGTTTCGAATACTGTGGAGTACGGGCTCATACTAAAAGATGGGAAATACTTCCAAGCGCCTCTCGATTCGGAGGAGTACAGCGCAGCCGCCGGGCCTTCTGGGAATGCTGGTGTTGGTCTCGACCACCCACCAGCGGCTATAAGTTGACGAGGTTGTCGAGTCCATGTCGGACGAAGAACTAGATCGCGCGCAACACCGGCCGCTTGAAGAGCTCATGTCGGGCTTCGTGACCTCGGCCCCCGTCACCCGGTGCCCCTCGGACGAAGAATGGGACCCCGCACAACATCAGCCATCTGAAGAAGAGACTATGCCGGGCTTTGTGACCTCAGCCCCAATTACCTCGTACCCCTCAGATGCGGAAACGGCCACGGACGAGCCCCCCGCGGTTACGATCGACATCCGGCTTCCAACGTACGTGTTCGTTGCCGAGAATGTTAGCCTTGCGGCATGTAGAGACGAGGAAGGCGCAAAGCTTAGCGTTTGTGTTGCCGATGCTTGGGTTGAAGGGGTCTTTTGCATTATCGAACCCTGTTCGGCCGTACTCAAGGGCAAATGCAAGCATATCACTCTCGAGCTTGAGGACGGGCCCGGCTTTGCTGAGTCGCCACCTTGCAAGATCGAGTTGGACGGCGTGCGTTTTCTAGATGAGACCCCCGGGGATGTGTCCAG